TGGTTGGAAATGCCGTTGTGTTTTGCAGAGCGTCTGGGAATTGGAGCCAACCCGGCCCTCGCTGTGAAGGTGCGTCTGTGGTCTGTCCCCTCGGGGTAGAAGCTCATAGTGTGGCTCACAAGGGAAACCCTGATCATTGCAACCAAGTCCTCAGAGAAGGCTAATCCCATGTAAAGAATTGCATGGTATAAATTAATTTCAAGCCCTTCTGTTGCAAAGGTGGGGCTGGGGAGGTTTATGTAGATGTCATGTAGATTTTGGTGTTGCAATATTAACAGCTTGTGGGTTTTTGTTTTGTCTTGTTCCAACTTCTTTTACACGTCATTTTGGTACATCATCATTTCCAGTGACTGTCTGCATAAATCCACATATACAGAATGGAAGGCAAGTCGATGGTCAAGGACGTATCTCCGCACCCGGGCAAATGGTGACATTTCAGTGCCACAACGGTTACAGCCTGCAAGGCAGTTCTAAAGTCTTCTGCCAGGAGGATGGCAGCTGGCACCCTCCTGTTCCCGTCTGTGAAAGACTATACCATGACCAGGAGCTCTCAAACAGGCCTGAACTTCCCGGTAAATCATGACATAGGTGCCTTGGGGTACACCACTATTTTATGTCCCCTAACTCCATTTAAAAAATGGGGTTTAACCCTGTGAGTGGAATATTTAAGTATATCCTGGGAATAAGAACCTGATCCTCTGGAATCCTTTGGGAAAATATGTTATGTTTGTTTAATAATGGCTATATTAATCAAAATCAATGATTTTGCAGGGCAACCCAAACACCTTTCCTTGTAACAGTGTTTTTTCTGTGCTTGCACCTGGCATGCCTGTCCTGCCTGATTCTCATGTCTGTTTTCTTTCTCAATAGGTGGTTGTGGTGCTCCTACAAGGTTACACTTTGCTGAGCTAAATGAGGAGCATAAAAATGAGATTCATTTTTCTGTTGGGAAGACTGTGCAGTACACTTGCCGACCTGGATATGCTAGACACCCAGGAATGTCACCCACTATTACATGCCTTGAGAGCGGAGTGTGGTCAGAAGCACTAGAGTTCTGTAAAAGTGAATAGCTCCTTGATTTGGTGTCCATTGTTCAAGAAGGCATAGGTGCTAGGTTCTGTCCATGCTGCAAAAACCTTAACTGTATTCTGGTGTTCAAATAGTATGTGACTAGTAAAGCCATGTAACATTGCTATTCGAAACCCATTTTGGGGGTAACTGGAAATGTGGACAGATCACTGGAGTAATAGTTGCATCTGTTGTGTCATGGTACAGATAGAGAGAAGCCTAAAATGAGGTTTCTTTCTCCCTCAGGGAAACAATGCAATCATCCTGGTGAACCCGTGAATGGGAAAATTATTTTCCTAACAGATCTCCTGTTTGGGTCAACAGTGCTCTACAGCTGTGAAGAAGGGTAAGTCGTGGTTTTGGCTACTGCTTAAACCAGCAATGAGAGATGCATTAGGTAAGTCTCCCTTTTTTCCTCCTATACCTTCATTCCCAATAAATGGATTATATATAGAAGCCACTCTATAGAGTTCAGCACCTATATGAACACATAAGGTGTTCCCTATCTTATGCATACATGTATATACTGTGAAATTGGTAAGATGGTGCTGAGTGAGGAAGGGGACTTCTCCTTCGGGGCCACAGCTTTGCTGTCAGCGGGGCTGATCACACCTCCCAGGGCGGTGAGGAGGAGGTAGTAACTTACACCGAAATGACTTGGGATGAATGTTGGATCCTTTTCACATCAGGCACAGGTTAATTGGACAACCCAGCAGACGATGTGAGATTTCTGGTGGACGTGTTGCATGGAGTGGCGACATTCCCAGTTGTCAGCGTAAGTAGCTTACAGCTCCAGGGGGTCTGCATGGATCTGGTAAGTATTTTCCAGCAGAGACTGCCAAATCTTTCCAATCAAAGCTTTCACGGGGAATTTCTCTGCTCTGTGGGCATGAAAAATATCAGAAGGTTTTGATGTCATGGAAAAAGGTACGAGATCTCAAAGCTTCATGGATTATAGAAAGCAATGTCTCAGCTGGAGCTTTTTCAGCAGTGCTTAGGTATCCTGTCTCTGTCTCTCAAGCCCATTATAAGAGAGGAAGGGAAAATATTATCTTTAGCTTAAGGGTTGTTATTGTTAGACACAGAGATACCAAGGCACAACCCTAAGACAAGGCAGAGCGCTGTGGGACGGCCAGAAGCGGAATCTCAAAGTCCCAAACCACAGGCTCCCTCTTTCACTACAAGCACAGATAACTGATGTGTACCCAAAGAGCTGCCGTACTGCAACTCAGCAATTACACCTGGGTGTTTCTTTGCTGATTAATTACTGTTGCTGATTAGGTGACAGTTTCATATAAGTAAGAAACATTTACTGGCACATTCTGGGATTTCAAAGCATTTTACAGATTCTCCAGGTACATATTAACCTAAGGTGACATACAAACTTCTGCCTGTGCGTGCCTTTGCACTGTGTGCAACTGAAAAATCAGGATTTTACACAGGCAATACAAAAGAAATATTTGCTTCTTTATTTCTTAAACAGTAGAAAAGATAAAGCATAAGTGTTTCCTCCCTAGAGGCTTGTCCTACTGGTCTCCTTTCTAACTGTCATAGAAATAGGTGGCCAGGGAGTTGGGATCCAGTTGCCCACAAGCCCTAAAGTAGAAGGTCACTTCATTGCAGTTACTTCATCTCTAGGATGAACATTTATGCCCCACAGACTGAGGGGTTTAAAGTATTTTGGTGCTGCTGTTGAATTTAGAAGCCTTGTTCTGCACCTCTGCAGGTATCCCTTGTGAGCCGCCTCCAGACATTCCCAACGGGAAGCACACAGGCAGGCTGCTGGATGAATTCCACTTCGGCACATCTGTAACATACACCTGCAACCGCGGGTACCCGCTCCACGGAGAGTCCTCCATCTACTGCACCACCCGGGATGGGAAAAACGGCGTGTGGAGCGGCCCCCCGCCCCAGTGCGGAGGTAGGGTGGTGTGCGCACGTGCAAATACTCAGATGCAATCCTCCTGGCCCTATTGCTTCATATTCGGAAAGACTGGGAAACCTCCAGGAAACAGCACTTCTTGCGCGAGTGGCTGCTAGAGCAGGATTTGCACGGGCTGTTTTTACAACTGTGGCCAGGCAGAGGGGAGAAGCTGGAGGACCACCCACCCCCAGCCTCACCTTTCAGCCTGGGTCTCTCCCTCAATGTTTGACATCGCTGGATGCGGGCAGTACGTCATCTATGGGACAATTATTTTCAGACTTGTGTCTTAAACAGGATCGCAACCTTAAGTGGCTTCGCAGCTGCACAGCTCTGCACGCTGCTGAAGTGCCTGTTCTGAGGACGTGCACTTCTTTTCCAGAGGCAAGATGTCCCATCCCACGGGTCCGGAATGGGAGAGTAGTGTCTCCTCCTAGGACTGCCTACACGCACAAGGACACTGTTGCCTTTGAGTGTGAGCCAGGCTATGTTATCCGTGGTCACAGAGTGGTACAATGCCAACGAAATAACACCTGGGAGCCACCCGTGCCAGTCTGCGAGCAGGGCAAGTGTTCAAACAGTGCTCTGAATGTTAACCTTCCCCCTGCTCTCCTAAAGCTGCTTTTTCTTGACTCCTTTAACAACTGGGCTGGCTTGTCTTTCTTGGTAGCTGGCTGCAATGCACCTACCAGACTGGTGTTTGCTGAGCTGAAGGAGCCGTACAGCAACCAGACTGTCTTTCCCGTGGGGAGGACGGTGGAATACGTGTGCCGGCCTGGGTACGCCCAGCATCTGGGGATGCCACCGGCCATCACGTGCCTCAGGAATCAGACGTGGTCTGCAGCGCTGGAGTTCTGTAAAAGTACGTCCTGCAAGTGCTGAAAAAACTAAAGTGTCAGGCTGGGCTGGATTTCCACATTCTTCTGGCTTTAGGGGTTTCTTTACGCAGCCCCCTCTCTGTGTCAGCATCCCTGGGTGGGGGTGAGTGAGCAGCTGAGGGCTAATGGTGGCTGATGTTCCCTTCCAGGGAAACAATGTGCTAACCCAGGGGATCTGGAACATGGCAGAGCTGTTGTCCTGACAGACCTCCTCTTTGGGTCCAAAGTGAATTACACTTGTAACGAAGGGTGAGTCTTGCAACTAGCTGAATTCAGCTGCCAAGTGAGCGTGAAGCAGATTTTCAGCTTTACATGAAAGAACCTAGTTCCCAAGACAGAAGTCTTGGCTGCCCTTTTACAAGGGTTGTAAATAAAGCTCAAGCTTACTGTAAATTAATAAATCCTTCTGTGTGACTCCAGGTACAAGTTGGTTGGAAGCTCTCAGAGAACATGCGAGGTCTCTGGCACACGTGTCTCATGGAGTGGAGATGCTCCTGTCTGCCAGCGTAAGTAGGCCACAACAAAAGGCCCTTGGAGATGTCTTGCAAGAGAAAGTGGTATATCTTTCAAGACAAAGATTTTATTGCAAAAGTTTTCTCAAGTCACTGTATGTGTAAAATCTGTCATGTTTCTTTTAATTTCATGTTGTTTTGGATGTTTCTCAAAATGCTTCCAAAGGTCTTTTATTTATCCTGGTCAAAACTCAGAAAACCATTAATATTTTAAACTCCCTGTTACTGGGGTATCTCTCGTTGGTCATGTGTAGGAATGGTGTGGCCAGTCTCTCTCTGCATGTGTCACCAATGGGTATGGAAAGGGAGGTAAGAATTATCCCACAGCCTCCAGACATGGGCAGCAAGGAAGTGACTCACAGGAGGGTGCAGCTTTTCCTTTCCCCATGTGGTTCTTCCCATACAAGGTTTGTCTCAGGATAATTTGGGTCATTGTTTCCAGAGAGCATCACCAGAGAGACGGGTTCATCCCCATCGGTTCCCTTCCTGGGAAGTGTGTGTGTGTCCTGCAGACCCTGGGTACTGCTGCAGCGTTGATGCTAAAAGCCACCTTGTACGTGCCTGCAGGTATTGTGTGCGATCCGCCTCCGGACATCCCCCATGGGAGACACAGCGGGCGCTTGATGGACGCCTTCTCCTACGCGGAGGTGGTGACCTACACCTGCGACCCCGGCCACCCGCTGGCTGGAGAGCCCTCCATCTTCTGCACCACGGCAGACGGGGAGCGCGGCGTGTGGAGCGGGCCGCCACCGCGGTGCGGAGGTAGGGCCCTGTGGTGCGTGGACGTCCGTCCCCGCTGGCGAGAGTTGGTTGTGACCATGGCCGCAGTGGAGGCTGCACCCACTGACAGGAAGACAGCTAACATGACAGATATTTATTCAAACGAGTTAATGGAATTAATTGTCTTCCTCCTTTGGTTTTTGAAGGTTGGATTTAAAAAGTTTTTTCCTTGCCTTGTCCATATTTCTTATCTGCCTTTCCTTCTCGTTCACAGAGGTGAAGTGTCCTCCCCCTCCAGTCATCGCCAATGGGCAGCACAGTGGCCAGCCCTCGGACACTCACCTTCCGGGCTCGGCTGTGCAGTACACCTGTATGGACGGCTACTCGCTCATCGGGAACACCTCCATTAGCTGTACCGCCGAGGGAACGTGGAGCCGGCCCCTGCCCCGATGTGAAGGTGTGTTTGTGTTGGCTTCTTTTATCCTTCCCTGTCTCCTTTCTTCCTTCTTGGCTCTCGGTCTAATCGCTGCAGACCAAATCTCCAGTGAGAGGCAGAGGCCAAAGGTCCCATTGGCAGGGTCAGGAGGAGCTCCACCTGCCTCTGTGGGTTTACCTTTGTGTCCCCCAGTAAGGGCAGACTCGCAAACACAGTTGAATAATGATATTTTCTGTAAGAATAAACTTCAATAATGTTGACATGCCCATGATAGTGATGGCAAGGTTCGGCAGCAGGTACTGTCCCTGGTCAGTGCTCCTCTGCACCCAGGATGGGCTTCACATCCCAAGCGGTGCCTCGTGCTCTTCACTTCCAGCAACCGGCTGCAAAAGACCAGAGATCGAGAACGGAAGGACGAATGGGCTGGAGACTGTGTACAGACTCACAGACATTGTTGTCTTCGAATGTGATTTTGGTTACTCTTTGAAGGGCTCTCAAGAGTCTCAGTGCCAGTTTGGGGGCGCGTGGGACCCTCCTGTCCCCACCTGTGAAAAGAGTAAGTGTCAGTGAGGCGGTGGGTGGTAGCTGATTTCTTCTGAACCACTGTGCGAGTGCACCTGGCAGGGGGGAACCGCCTCACCTCGGAGGTAATGGGGCCACTCTCCAGGACTGGAAATGCAAAACATGCAAATACTTGTCCTGCCATCTTCATAATCCCCATTGAGACCCTTATTATGCAGGGCCTTCTCCTTAAATCCACAAAGACAGAGCGAGCCAGGCTGCTGTCTGATCTTGTTCACAAGCACGGAAAGGCCAGAGCAAGCTGTTAGGGACACAGATGGAAACTAACCACTGTAAGTGGCTAAATAGTGAGAAAAGATCGTTCTTGATGTCAATAAGCTCAAAAAACATGAAGGCAGGAAGATAGCTGAGGTTCGGATGGAAACATAATTCATACATTGACATCTCTAGATATTTGGGAAAAATGAATGAGAAAGAAAGAAGTGAAAAGGCTGCCTTACCCTACAGTGGGTGTTTGGGGTACCTGCTCTTCATCAGTTATGACTTTTTCCCCCTCCTTGTAGTGCTACAGTGTCCTTCCCCTCCAAATATCAAAAATGGTCAGCGTGAGAGCAAGGATGTAAAAGTGTTCATCCCTGGAATATCAGTGAAGTACTACTGTGACCCAGGGTATGTCCTCACTGGGAAAACAACAGTTTCTTGTTTGAAATCTGGAACCTGGAGCATCCCTTACCCCCGGTGT